ATAGCTAAACCACTGCGTTGTTGATAGATCTTATCTTGGCATTTAAAGAAGTTGTTTAATAAGACGAATTCCATCATCTTCGTCAAATCACTCTTCCGAATACCTTTCGACGCTCGTCCGATTATTGTTTTAATCGAATCGATAGCCCGGAAAGGGTCTATATTGGTATACATGGCTGTAACGTCACCTGTTACAATCCAGCACCCGTCGAAGGAATCGACCTTTCTAATCTTTGTTAAGAAATCTTGTGTCGAAGTCAAAACGCTTGGAAAGTTAGGAAGTTCTGGTTGTAGAGCGTAATCTATTACTTCCGCTACCCGCGACGTTATCCAGCTATGGCTTGGGATGATTGGTCTAGAGGCCCACGGGTGCTTGTGTACCTTAGGTATCACATAGAACGTGGGCAAATCATTCGTGCTAGCGCGAATATACTTCTTAATAGAAGCAGGCAAGTAAGGGGATTCATAGATTTCCTCTAGCTGTTTACCAAGTGATATAGGTATGAAATCTAGTAGAGTATACGCTTTCGTATTACTCATGTGGATTGCAACTTGTTCCTTATACCAATCAAGCGAAATAACGCTTAAGCCCAGATTTTTATCAGTTATTTTAACGAGGTAATTCTTCTCGGTTAAATACTGCTTTAAATCTCGCAAATTGGGGTTATGGCGTGGAGTTAACTTCGGCAAAGCATTGATCTGTTTATACAGTGCATGTTTGATTTCTATTAACCCACTCTCTAATTCATCAGAAGCTTTGGGTGGATCCCAATCGTCTTGCTTGATATGGAACTGAGGTATATAACTTGGGTTTACTGGTCGATCTTTGAAGTAGAATTTAGTTCTAATAGATCGTTGGAGCTTTAGCCAAGCTTCGCGTACCAGTTGTGGTCTCATTTTATCGTGTAAAATAAATTTCCCGTTTAGTGATAGCGTTTGCCGTATATTTTCTGGGAGAAATACGTTAGGCCCTTGAAATATATCTGATTGAGTACTTGAAATACTATCAAGATATTCAGGTTTACTATGGGGTAGTAACCATTGGGCTCTAATATCTACGGGTTTTTCAAACCACGTGCGAGGGTAAGAAGACAAATCATTCAACCGAAATTGTTTTGATTGAGAAGCTAGCTGATTATCTAATCCCGCTAATTCTTCTTTGGTTTCTTCTTCCCACTCCCATTTCCTTTTCCTCCCTTCCCTGAGTTTGGTTGGGGTTTCTTTGGTTTGGGGCCACCCTTGGCCTTGTTCGGCTTGGGGTTGGACTTTTTGGCACCTATCTCTTGAATTAGTTAAGACCTTAGTGCGGAGACTAAAGGACTTACCTTTCGGAGGTGCGCTTTTCGCTTTACCAGACTTGTTCAAGGCCTTGGCAACCGCGAGCTCAACTACGCGAGTGATATCGTTTGCCCCATAATTGCTCATGTGGGTATCCGTATCCTCTTTAAGCTTCAGCTTACTCAGCTTTACGGCAAGCTCATTTTGATGTTTCATCAGTCCGAGGCCAAAAGACCTTCGGAGCCAAGTCACACCTAGTTGCGAGCACGTACGAGTCTCATCTCTGAGATAATCGTTCGATTTGTTTGCCGTACTTGAAAAAGAAGGGCCGAGTGATTCGGTGACCTTCTTAATCGTGAGTTCTTTTGCAGTCTCAGCTGCTTTATCGTCGGCCAAGGATTCGAGATGCTTAAGCTCTTGTTCCTTGACCGCGATACACTCTTTATGTACCTTGAGACGGTATTCAGAGGTGGCGGTAATAAGACTTGCTTCCCATGCGTTCCACGAGTCTGTTCCCTTGAACTCTTTAGACACTTGAACTGCTGGCACCTTTAGCGCACCTTGAATGGAAGGGGGAAGGGTGTGGACAGAGAGGTGTTCCTTAAGCGAACCAATAGCGTGAGAGCAGTGTGAGACTTTCACGCCGATGTCGAACCACTCTTTGAAGATCAAGCGAAAGTGGGCTTGAAAAGGGCGGGGAACGCAGGCTGCAAGCTCGTCGATAGAGCCCGCAACCGCCACGTTGTCGGCGTTGTATTTGGCGGTAGGT